CCGGACCATGACAAAACATTTGGTTGCGACATTGCTTATTTGCTTTATGAAATATTAGAGTCGTGTGATGTACTACATAATTAGAGGAGAGGAAAAATAGAAGACAAAGAGCGGAGTCTTTATATATATATATATATATATATATAATTAGTTCACAAATGAAGTAGTTAGTTAAGGAAAATAATACTCTCTCCATCCCATTTTGATAATGCTGATTTTTTTTTCACACAGGTTAAGAAAAAGTAGTTAACTTTGTTGGAACAATCAATTTAGGTAACTATTTTCCTAATATACCCTCACATTAATTGGAGTACAACTTTATGGGAACTTGAATTGATAGTAAAAAAAGAATCAACTCTCATTAAATGGAGTAGGTTTATAGTAACAACAACTTACATTGAATAAGGATATTTTAAAAAAATTAAAATACAACTACTTTTTTCAATTAGAAAGTGGACTACAATTTGGGACAGACGAAAAAGAAAAACAGGACTATCAAAGTGGGATGGAGGGAGTAATGAAATTGTAATCATTTAAAACATCTCTGCTGGATGCCACTATTATGCGGATTGTAACATATTAATATATTGAATTCATGAGTTTAATCCCTATGCTTAATGTTTAAGTCACGATTATTTAGTACTATATGTTTTCTGTGATTAATGTCAAAAAAGAAAAAGGAAAAAAGTCAACCGCATGAGGTTCAAGATTATTTTATGATGTCAACATCAACCGAGTGATTAACTTGTAAAAAGGAAAAAAAAAAAAAAAAGAAGAGCCAAATTATGATTACTCATAAATCATTTGATAAGCCATTAAACTAGTTCATCATCAACTCCGCTTTCTTCTCATTTTTTGCTTTTGAAAAAGAAGAAAGGTAGAAATCCGACAAGACAATATTAAAACAAGGAGGTTAGTGGAAAATAACCTTGTAAAATGCTGGTTAAAAAAAATAAAAATAAAGATACAATTAGGCACACACAGGTTAAGGCATGAAATAACAAGACTAGCTAGCTACCCCATTATGCTTTCATAGATTCTTGTAAAGAATTTACAAGAAAAGAGTAGTAAGTTGTCATGTCTTTTCATGGCCCTTGGCTTTAAAAGAATGCACTTGTCTTCCATTCCCTTCTCAAAGCTCAACTTCAAAAAAAAAATAGACATATAACACACTGTTGAAATGGATGCAAAACGCCATTCCTGTGATCATGCAGAAGAAGACTTCATTTACATGGAAGTAGGCTCACAATCAGCCGTCTTCAGCCACCACTACTCCAAAAGTACCTCTTCTTCTTCTTCACATGCCAGAGAATTTGAGTTCCAAATGTCTAGCTCCTCCGAGAGAGACGCCGCGCCTTCACCGGCTGATGAACTCTTCTACAAAGGCAAACTCCTCCCTCTTCACCTTCCACCACGTTTACAAATGGTCGAGAAACTGTTGCAAAATGCTAACATCAGTAGTTATGATAGCATTTTAGAAGATACTTGTTTTGAAGAGTCTTTTAGTACACCATTATTCACCAACGCCTACAACACCCCAACAGCCAACAATACTCCCTTTGAATCTTGTAACATCTCACCATCAGAGTCCTGCCAAGTAAGTAGAGAACTTAATCCAGAGGAGTACTCGTTCGAGTATTCAACAGAAGCAAGCAGTTTTGTAGGTGATCAAAACCCTAAAAGGTCCTGGACCAAGAAGCTTAAGTTGATTAAACAGTCCTCACTTGGTTCCAAGCTGAAGGCTTCAAGGACTTATCTTAAGTCCCTGTTTAGTAAATCTGCTTGCTCAAACGAGACCTGCGCAGCAGCCCCAAGAAATCATGTCGTTGATGGATCAGGATCAGTGCTCAAGGCCAATGAATGCATAAACAAGTACGTAAAGGTAGCAAAGAAAGCCCCTTTCGGACAAATTCAGAATGGCGGAAAGAAAGTGAGTGCATCTTCTTCTGTGATCAAGAATTTTGACAAAGCAAACTTTGATGAGAATGGGGTTGGGGGCAGAGGTAGACATCGGAGGTCATTTTCAGGGGCGATCAAAAGGATATCGATTGCTAGATCTTCATCTTCATTATCTTCATCCGGTTCTTCTTCAGCTTCAAGTTCAACAAACTCCAATGGATTCCAAGAGCTGCAATTTTTCAAGAGAAGTAACAGCGTGAACTCAGACCTTGAGAATCCAATACAAGCAGCAATTGCTCACTGTAAAAGTTCTCAGCAGCTTTTCAACTCAAGAAAGACTGTAAGTGACCTTGGTTTCTGTTCCTTGTCCTCTGCAAGAGTTATTTATGCAGATCAAAGGCCAGGGCTTTGCAGGGGTTAAAGACGTGGAGGAGTAGTAGGGGAGACAAATTTTGATTGGGTTATGATTTGATTTCTCTTTTTTATTTCCAACTTTTCATATCATAATTCTGTGCAATGCTCATTATGTAGTTCTCTACAGGATTCAGAATTATGCAATGTGAGTCCTTTGTTGCAGAAGTGAGAGTTTGAAAACTAATAATGACGAATTGAAGCCTCTCTTTGTCGAACACAATTATTAGCAAGAAGTACGTGCAGAAACTTCTAGCTATGACTAAGTGGAGGAGATTCATTTTTACACTAACTGCAAGAGGTATTAGAGAAACAATAGTTAATTTTACAGGTAAATGCTTTACACCTTGGATCCACGTGCGGCCAGCACTCATCAATCTTTTGGCGATTGAAAGTACAACTTCAACTACAAGCCAGTGCTGGACTCAATTCAGAGCATGAGCTTAATTTTTTGCCAAGGAGCTACTTTTGGTAGTATGGCAAAGAAAGCAAAGCTTTTGACCGCCTCACTGAATATGCATTCCCTAGTTACTCATTTAAAGGTTTAGTGAGAGCACTTTAGCTTAAACCATGCAATTTTAGCAAATGGCGAGTCAGTCGTTCATTGAATTCAAAGAGATTCCGTGCCAAAGCATAAGAAAGTCGTCTTCCATTGGCAGATGAAAAGGGGTGGAAGCCTTTTGGTTTCGCTTTTCATTTCATCAATAACAAGTGTGACCAAAGAAGGTCCAGCATAATTAGTGTTATGTGAAGATATAAACCATGAAATAATCCTTGACCGGAGCAAGGAGCAAGCAAACGATCTGATTTAGAACGATTCACTACAAAAAAGACCCTGTTGTTGCAACTTGCAAAGGGGAAAAATGTTCTGTAAACCGACTCCTACTCCTCAAAACTCATACTTACATGCCAATGTGGCTTAAATGCAAAATAAAAGAGTCCCAACAATTCAAGTTATTTCCTACTTACGATCTTTCATCGCTGACCCTAAAATTTCAGGCCAAGAATTGGGAAGTGTCACCATCCAGTCTTAGATATTTGATACAAACTTATGATTTTTCTTTCCTTAAAGAATGTGTTAATGTAACGTTAATGAGACATAACCATAAAGGTGAACAGGACAGAAGCACCTGTCCAAATTATGCGTCGTTCAAGGAGTATGGACCATCCCGGGACAAATATTTGCAATTTGCAAATGGACACACTCTACTTAGCTGAAAACTTTATTTTTAAATCACAGACTATACCTTGGACTGTCCTTTCAAGAAAAAAAAAATAAAAAAAGTAAACCATTTCCATATTCAAAAGGATAATTTCTATATCATCTGACATGAAGTACTACAAAGGTGGCTAAACAGCATAGTAGAACCCTTGCTCGGAAGGCACTATGGCATGTTAAATATGGCTGTTTAGGCAAAACCAAATACCATACTTTGCCTCTGATAAAAGTGAACTACAAATAATCATGACTATGATTGCAAACACTAACATCTGTTGCTCAGGCATATCTAAAGTATTGGCAACTAAAACATGTCAATATAGACTAAATTTTAAAGCAAATGATTTCAAACTAGATAATATAAAGTAAGGAGTAAATCCACCAATGCAGACAAACAGCCTTCCAGTGGTTCTTTTACCATCTTTTCTTTTAACAGGTGGGTGCACCAAACCTTAATCTAAGTAAACATGTCAGCCAGATTTTTGGCATGATTATGAACAAGCAAGGACTCCTGAAAAGACCATTTGATGATGTTGAGCACCCATATAACAAGAAATTCTTCCCCCCACCAGACTTCAGGGAATGTCTAAAAAATAAAAGAATAAAAGGCACAATATTCATGTCAACTGAAGTTGTTTTGGTCCCATTCCTACATCATCTTTTCTTTTTTGTACTGTAAATGGGTTTGGAAGAAAGTCTCTACAAACAGTGGATGGGATTGGAAGAAAGTCCCCTGGTAACAGCAAATGGACGTATGAACTAAACATGAAAACTACCCTTCCGCTTTGCAAGACGCCATGCGCTTTGCCAAGTCTAATTATTGAGAAATCAACAGATCATGCAGTTTCTTAAAGCTGGTAGTGGCTAATCCCACTTTTTGAATAGCAAGAAGAAATCTAGAGTAGAAGTAATCAATATTACTGACCAAACCATTATGATTATGTAGATGAAACCTAGTGACACTGTGATAGATAATTTAAAAAGAAGCACTGCAATAACAGCATGCATTTTGTTCCACGTTAAATTGAGGATTTAATTTGGTCGATTTATAACTTACAAGAACTTAGCCAAGGAAATAGCTGTAGTTCAGGATTCAAGCTCTAAGCAACTTGATCTGGTCGTTTAGGTTCAACAAAATTCCAGGCTAGCATTCTCAGCTTGTTCTGTAAAGGATCTTATTTTCCATCTACACTACCAGGAACTTCTTCTGTTATTTTAGGGAAAACATATAGTAAACGTTTTGGTGCAGGGTTGAACAACTTTATTAGGTATGATGTAAAGACCAACTTTCAAACTTGGCCTAGGTACTTCTACTGTTTCAAAGGCATAACCATAGAAATGCATATCTCCACTTTGGTAGAAATAATAAAAGAATTCTTCTGGTTCTGTTTATGCAGTGATGTCAGAAGATCAAAACAGTAGGCATGAAAGATAAAAGGAGAGATTAGAACCAAGCAGTGAGCAAGGAGGAAGCTGCAAGGATACTTCTCATGAGAGACTCATTTAAATTGAAATGCATTCTTGAATACATCTAAAATTTCTGAACAACTGGACTAGAAAAATATTAAGCTTTACAGAAGCTTAAAAGAAAAGTAGTTACATAGTTCTTATTTAAAAATTGAACAAGAGAATCTTCATCACCAAGGAAAGATCAATAGCTCTTTTCCTCCAAAATACGAGGGACAGTTTCTTCAGCTATATGCATCACTATCCAATATCACATAGAGGCAAACATCAGTATTCCCAAAGTTATATACCATTTTAGAAAAGAATAAAATGTAACAGAAGGCAAGTGTACTGCATAGATTATTTGTAGACGTGCCTGAGTCTGCAAAATCAATAAATTGGCCTTCACTGAGGTAGACTAAGATGCTCATTAAGAGAGGGCATCGTCACATGTTTCAAAATTCCAGTCTCAGAATTCAAGGAGCCCAACTCACTTGGCAGATCCAACTCTTGATTCACCAGACAAAAGGATGAAAAGGAGTGACAAATTTGTGCAATTAGGAGGGGTTGACAACTGTATAATACTCCTGTAAAAAAAAAAACACACACACACACACAAAGGGCAAAACGAAAGAGAAGTTAAAGTGAAATTACTGCCACTGCTGGACTAAAAGGCAGGATTTGAGACTTGTGACTGCAACCTGAGCATGATCTGCCACCAACACACTAAAGTTCACAAAGAGTTCAAAAGTACTAGGGCAATAGGCCAGATAACAATGAAATTATATACCTTTGTTTTCTCATTTTTCCCAATATAATCACGTAAAGTTTTCCCTTTCATCAACTCTTTCCCAGCCCACAAAAGCTGAACTGTGTCTTCTTGAAGAAGCTCCGAGTCTAAAACATCCACATTTTTTTCCCCTTAGTATTAGATATGTTTAACATAATAATATTTCAAACAAGTAATCAGTACAAAAAGAAGCAACTGATGTACATGAATAATAAACAGGGTGATGCATCTTTTGACCGCACAATAAATCAATAAGAAAGCATAGTTGCACACTAGACAAAATGAAATTTTCATTACATTTTGATTTTAGATGAATAAATATCAAAAGAAGAATAAGTTAACACTCACACACATACACCTTCCAGTGTTGTATTAGACACCACGGAGCAACCACATCAGCAGAATACTACATGCGTGCAATTTGCAAAGCACAAGGAGCGATGCATTTCTCTCGAAAGTAAGATACAAACATGACAAAAGGGTTATGTGATCAGATGAATGTGTTGGCATCAAAAAACAGGAGGCCCGAGCACACTATTCCCACAGTTTTGAACTTAGAAAAAAAAACACACACACACAAACACACAGACACCATTACCCTTGTGGAAAATACAAAAATCAAACAAGCATTAGAACCAAGATTTCTCTCATACTCTATGTCAAATAGAAGAATCCGAGATTAAACAGACTAGAAGCTCCCTGCGGTAACTGAAAATTTCAGTACCTGAAAGCAGTTGTTTGAAATTGCTGTCTTGAAAATTCAATAGCTTATAATTTACCACGAACGCAGTTGCTATGATTCTTATGTGATCTCTTAACACAAGAATTGACAATGGCTTGCCATGTACAACTTGCTCCTGCAATCAAAGTCAAACAGACACATTATCACCATGATCAATCCAGAACATCATATCATGTCAATATTATACTTATATAACAAAAAAAAAATCACAAAAAAAGGAGAATTCAAAATTGAATCCTTAGATCCTTCCCTCCCCATCCCCCTCCCCAAAAAAAAAAAAAAAAGAACTTACAGTATACAGGAAGAGGAGGAGGGGAAAAAAAGATAAAAAAAAAAAAGAAGAGAGACCTTGGAAGCGTAGGAAGTAGCTTCAGAGAGAGCTCTGTGAAGGGCTATCACTGCAGCATTAAAGTTGAATTATTATCATTACAGCAAGCCCGGTAATTCAAAGAATAAAAACACCTAAAAATAGGGAGAAAGATGAGAACCCAGAAAGCAACCCAAAAAGGTAAGAAGAAAAAGAGCAAGTGTGTTGTTGTTTTCGTGGTTTAAGAAACCTTGTGGGCGGTGCGTGTGGAGGAGAGCAGCGACGGGAGGGAGGAGTTGACAGCCCAGTTGTCGAATTTGGAGTTGGAAGTTTGCTATCTCCGTTATGTCTTGGGTGATGTGCTGGATTGTTGAAGAGGTTTCGCAGTCGTATAGGAACTCCAGTTCACCGTCCGCGCCATTCACAGCCCGCCGGCAGCCATGCTTCACGTGAATTCTTACCATCCTATCGCAAACTTTGGGGGAACAAAAGTTACAAAACCCAGCAAACCACTTTTCTGTACTTGTAAAGGGATCAAGTTTACGACATCGTTTGGGAGATGGGAAATGAGGAAATGGATTTTTTTTTCTTTTTCTTTTGGGAAAATGAGAAATGGGAAATGGGTGGCTTGGTGGAATTAACCTTTCTCACATAGTACTTGGAAATAATCCAAAAGTGAATCCAACGGATCAAGTGCCTCTACAATTGCCAATGGCAATTGAGCGCTACAATGTATAGACACTGATAAAATAAATGTATCCGCTAAAATACTAAAATATAGACATCAACAAAATCATAGATAGAAGTACAACAAAATTTCTCTCACTTGTTGAAATTTATTCAAAAATTGTGTTATGGATTAGTTATTTTTGGGAATGTTTTTGAAAATTTTTACTGTAACAGTGTATATAACAAATTTTTATTATAAATTTTTTTTGAAATATTTGATATATTATATGAATAAGATATTTTTTTAACTTATTGTGTAGGGAAAATCGTTCAAAACATTTCTCATATTTTGTAAAATAACTTTTTTCGTCCTTCACTTTTAAAAATATAATTTTATACCCCTTACAAATTCACATTGATCAAATTTGATCCTTACTTAGATTTTCGATTAGTTTTTTGTCGTAATTCATTACGTGCCTTGAACGTGATTATATTTTAAGGGTAAAATTGTTAAATCAAATATTATATAATTCGATTCATAATCCCTCACATTTCATAAAATAAATTTTTTCGTCCATTACATTTCACAAAATAAATTTTGTAATCTTTTACATTTTTCAAAATGAATTTTTTCATCTTTATTGATCATGTGTGTGAATATTTTTTTTTAATCCATGTATATATCTATTTGATTTCACTTGAACAATATGAATAGCATGTGAAATCAAATAGAGATATATTATATACTATATCGTACTGCTCAAATGAAATCAAATAGATATATACATGGGTTTAAAAAAATTGTTAGTTTTTTTATTTATATTCATTTTCTTTTACTCGAAATTTGAAAATAAAGATGACATTTAATCACAAATATTATCTAGTGTTTATATTGAATTAAATTTGGATAAACAAAAGAAAAGTATGACAAAAAGAAATAAGTGATTGGCACTTTCAAATTTTAAGTCAATCACAAGGCACGTAATTCAACTGGTGGTTTTAAAAGTGTCAAATAGAAATTTCAGTTTAAGATTTAAATTGAAATTTGTTAGCACAATTATAGAATTCGAATTAGGACCCAATAATTAGATGACTTTATTATACAATTTAATAAATAAATTATTAACAAATGAGAAAGGTCACAAATATTGAATAGGTTCAAATGATGAAATCATATAAATATATACATGGGTTTCAAACAAAATTATTAGTTTTAAACCCCTATATATATCTATTGAATAGCATGTGTATAACTACGATTAACATGTTTAGACGAAATTCAATAGAGATAAATTACATGTTATTCATACTGTTCAAGTAAAATCAAATAGACATATACGTGAGTTCATAGAAAAAAAGCTATTCGTACACATGATCAATAAGGGATAAAAAAATTCATTTTGAAAAATGTGAGGGATGAAAAAATTTATTTTTTGAAATGTGAGAAACGAAACAATTCATTTCGTAAAATGTTAGGGACGAAAAAATTTATTTTGTGAAATGTGAGGGACTATGAATCAGATTATGTAAAAATTTGATTTGACAATTTTGCCATTAAAAAATGATCACATGCAAATTACGTGGTGCATTCTGGCAAAACATTAGTTGAAAACTTAGGTAGGAACCAAATTTGGTCAATATAAATTTATAAGGAATGTAAAACTATACTTTTCAAAGTGAGAGACGAAAAAAGTCATCTTATAAAATGTGAAATACGGTTTGAACGATTTTCCCTATTGTGTATTACTGCAACATTGTTTTTGAAAAAATAACCAATCCAAATAGATTTCGGTGTTTTCATTGTATGATATAATTACCACAAACAATTGTCGGGGGCCTCGGGGCCCTTGATTCAAAATCAATTGGGAATTCCAATTTCTTGATTAACACATGGTTCAAGCACCCATTGCATCAGTTTGGTTTGTAGCAATAAACTTTTATGTCAAAGATGATGATGATGATGTTCTGGCGGAGAGAGACACACAAGACATGGTATAATTTGTCTGCTCTCCTCCGCATTAAATTTCTTACATGATAAGACTTCCCGTTACATAATTCTCGGGAACAAAGATATAAGCATCCGAGGATGATACATCATTAGCAACCAGAAACTGGAGCAGCAGAATTCCAGCCCTTCCACCTTTTCCTCTGGTGGCTAATGGACAGGCCTGGAGACCTGAAGAGACGGAGAACCTCCTCCTGGCTCAAAACTCTTCATAGTCTCCCTTTTATTCTTTTAGCACCATTTTCCCGACCAGCCAGTGATTATTTTCTCTAGATTACATCTTCTCATATCACAGGGCAAAAATCCGATCGATATCTGAGTTGGAAAACTCGGAGGGGTACCATGAATTTGAGCCACTCCTGGCACTCTTCTCTTTCTTTCTCATTGATCTGATCCGCTTTGACTTGACCACATAATAAGTCATGGTTCCAAGAACTCCAGCCATTATAAGTCCCCCCACAACCGTAACTAAAATTGCAGCCCATTCGTATTTCCGACCAACCACTATGTAAGACGATGCAATAAATGCCACTGAAGTACAGACAGAGGCCAACCACATCAGCTTGTTGATCACCTCCACGACCTTTCTTTCTGCCTTTGTCTCACCTCTCACCAAGGTAATTTGAACTACGACGACAGCAAGAGAAGTAAAGAGCGCGATGGCGTTAAAGATGAAAAAGATTTTGAATGAAGCTCGGCTCACTACAACAGCCATCCCACTGTCTGTATCTCCACCAGGCACAGTAAAGATAGCTGCAAAGGCAACGGTTGCAAAAAGCACAGCCACCACGGTAACTGAGTTCGTGGCATTGTTTATTCCTTCTCGATGGAGTTTTCTAAGCTCCTTAGCAATTCCATGGACATTTTTATTTGTCCTCTTAGTCTGTTCAAGTTGGGTGTGGACATCTTTCTTGATTTGGGTCACGGTTTTCCTCAACTCATCTCTGGGTTGGTTCAATTCATTAGCTTTAACAGCACCTGCACGATAAAGGCACTCTTTTATAACCGTGGATTCTTCAGACAGTGGAAGACCTTCAGCAATATCTAGAGCTGTCTTGTGATCTCTAGTAAGGGCATTCACATTTGTATCAGGCAGCTGAATCAACTCATTCACTATCTGCAGACAAAAATAAATCGAGATTTATTAAAGATATTTCTTGCCCGCAAAACCATCATGTGTTGGAGGACACGTTCCAAGCGGAAAAAGCACCAAATGCCACAAAGCTACTAGAAAACACTGTAGCACCAAATCTTAGAGTAACTACTGAAGAAAAACCTTATAACTTATATGTGGTGTTTCAGAAATGCTTAAAGATAGTTTAGATTATGATTATCGGGAAAACACCAAGTTATAGATATTTAAGTAAATCACTAAACTTCCTTGTGAGCAGCTGAGGACATACGGAGGTTCAAAAGATCCACCACAAGCACCCAGGAAGGACGGTACACTACATGTCTATTAGCAAAAATATGAAATAGATAGATAAAAAAATGCTCCTACTGGTTGAGTGCTAACATAAGCATAACCAATTCAGGAATGGTGCACACAATTGTACCTCAGCTCTTTTTTTCCGAGTGGCAACATGTAAAGCAGTGTTTCCAAATTTATCAGGCAGCATGACAATTGCAGCATCAGCATCAAGCAACAGTTTGACGACCTCACAGTTAACCCCTTTCACAGCCATGTGCAATGCGGTCTGCCCCTTCTTGTCAGTCCTTCTTGCCAGTTGATGATCTTTGTCAAGCAATGCCTTGACAATCTCCACATGCCCCTGCCTGGCAGCGAGGTGTAATGCATTTTTCCCATTAGATTTAGAAATATCTAGTAAACTACAATCCTTTGACAGTAACTCATTGACCACAGCTATATGTCCTCTTGTAGCTGCAGTTATAAGAGGGGTGGCATTTGAAGTGCCAACTGTTTCGCTAAGCCCAGGGTCATGGTCTAGCAGCCCTTGAACAATGGCTGCAAATAGTTAAGTATAACAGTCAGCAACAACCATTAGGATTCAAAAAACTTAAGAATATGAAACCTATTTAAACTTTTTGTATAAATCTAGCAAGTCCATATCATAAAGTATTCCACCAAAAATCTACAAACACAACTTTAAGATTGAGGAACATATACAAGACTATGCTATTCTAAATTCAATGACAATAAATGGTTGAAAAGAAGATCCTCAGTCCTACACTTCAAACATGATAAACTACTGGAGAGGACAAGAATATGCTCAGGCCTACTCATCAACCCTAATAGATACCATTTGTAAGTTTTTTGCAGATAGCATACTAGGACATACATGTGAATATATACTAATTTCCTTGTCTAAAAGATTATAAGGTCATCTAAGGTAATACTGTACCAGTTACCCTATAATTATGTAAGGAAAACAGACTAGTTAAGCTAAAGAACAACTACTCTCCACAAGAATTATGCCTCCGAGGAGTTGCATTCATGATAAAGCCCTCAATGTCTAAAATAGACAGCTCAAGTCATCTAATCAAATTATGTAGATGTAAAATGTCACATAACATAAATAAGCAATTCTCAAATAATGTAATTAGAAAAAGAGATGCAACTCCAGATAACCTATTTTCTGATCTCCTCAATAAGACTAAGTTTTATCCTTATTGCCAACAATAGAAGCCGCAATTAAAATTTACCCTCTAAACTCAGCAATGATTTAAACATATGAGCAAATTGAGTGGTCAACAAAAGCCAAAACAGTACCATGGTGTCCCTGACTTGCAGCAATATGCAAAGGATCAAAACCCGATCTATTCTTCTTCGTGAGTGTTTCTTTATTGGAATACTTCAATAACTCTTTCACCACATCAAGGTGCCCTCTATCAGCAGCAGTGTACAGTGCAGTTTCCCCCAACTCATTCACATCATTCACCACCGATGCCCTGATCTCCGCAACCTCTTGATCAAAGTCTACTCCACTCAAAGTCCCCACCATCTGAGTATCAATATCATCAAGTATCTGCTTTACCGCTACAAGATCCCCTCTTTGAGCTGCTAAATGCAGTTCAGTATCATTATGCCGGCCAGTCACCTGCTTCACATACTTCTTCTTCCCAGCTTGGTCTATTCTCTTCCCAGAATTAGATAGCACCAGAGCCGGTGCTGTGGCAGAGGAAGGCGACAGCGATGGAGTCGGAGACGGTGATAATGACAGCTCAGCTAAAGGGTTTTGGCTATATGTTGGAGTAATCAACCCCTTTTCTATGTCTCTATCTCCTCCTACATAATTCAGTATTTAAATCAATATATTAAGATAAAACTCAAAAAAAAACCCAGAAAGAATCTCGGAAAGAAAAGATAAAGTTTCCAACTTTCCCCTATTTTCTTCATAATTTCTGATCATAGTATATGCTTAATTTTCTTTCCTTTTTTTTCTTTCTTTGGTTCTGGGCCTTGATTTTTATTGTTAAGCTATACCTCTAAACTCCACAGAAAACAAAATTATAATAACTTATACAACACAGTCCAGAAAATATAAAGGAGAAGAGCGTAAATAAGGGTCATGATTTACTGCTCAAGTAGATGACGCAGAATAAGAGCTAGACAGTATAGAAGTAGAGAAAGAAATCAGTACCTTTTTCCACCGGGGAAGCCATGATTGACCAGGAGGAAGAGCAGTAGATTGGAATGATTGGAGTCTGAGATTTGTTGAAGTTCTGCAGAAAATAAAGTGTGAAGGTAGCGTCGACGAAGATAGGAAAACGAACTAAAAGACAGATTAGAGGAAGGTGGGAAGAAAAGTCCTCACTAGTTAGGCTCAGACACAGTAGTGTCTTTTCATTTGGTGGCCCTGCAATCTTAAATATTTGCAATTCATGCCATGAATTTTGTTTTTTTCCTGGGGCGTAAATGAATGATTCCCTGTTTGTCAATCCCGAATTTGACTAGGCATTATGGTAGTTTAAAAAGAGAAAAAAAACAACAAACAAAGTAGCTGAGATTTTGGAGTTTTAATGATCTTGTCTCTTTTTGTTAATTCTTTTCTTGCACATTTCATTAATTTTGTTGCCCTTACCATCTAAATTTTATGAAACACAAAAAAAAAAAAAAAGAGGAAGAAGAAGAAGGAAAAATCTTTGTTGCCCTTAAAATCGAGTTTGAAGTAAAATCTTTCTCTAAAGTTGTGGCTCAATCAAAAGAGTCACTCTAGTCTTTTTATGCAAAATTTTTTGTTTTTTAATTTAGAATTGAAGTTTGAGTATTTGGATAAGAAAAAAATAACCAACCACCATAGTCTTTAAGACTTAGTAGGATGGGAGGTTAAATATTTAAATCTTGTCTCCCATCACTTGTCACTATACGTGGTTTATAACTTTAAATGGTTTAAATTCATACAAATGCGTAATGCACCTCTCGCCATCACATATAACTTGTCACTTTAAATAGTTTAAATTTATACGAGTGCATAGTGCATTCGTCTCATCCGATTGTAATTCAGTCCCGTCATCAAAATTGTTGAAACACACTCATTTGCTCGAATCATTGAATTCTATGAGCAACATATCAAGAAGTAAACTTTAGTTGTTTTTCTAGATTTTTCTTTAGGGAATGATAGATGAATATTTGCATAAGCATGTCCTGTAGCGTGGGATGTAAAGGTCAAGTCATGATACCAAGTGGAGGATAGAAATCGGTGATAAGTCTTGGTGCCCATCTCTGGTAGTAGTAGTAATAGTACCAGAGGTGGCAAATCAACCCACTTAATTAAATTTATTCATACTCGCTCATGAATAGATAGGTATGGATATCTTAAATTTTTGTATATGGGTATTATTGGGTAACTCATCAAACCCAATTAACCTATTTAAAATTCTCTTCCCCCCAAGTCTCTTTTTTTCTCCCACCCATTTTTTTTTCAAATTTTTTATTTTGTCATGATGTTAACTACTTTTGTTTCATTATTATTATTATTATTATTTGTTGGTTTTATCTTATTATTTTATTTTTCTCTTAGTTTGTTAACTTGCTCATTTTTCAGCATTACTAATTTATGATAAATTTTAGCCTATTTTTTTATCTTTCTAAAATGAAAATTTAAATTTATATATGAAATAAATGTTAGGGGTTCAAAATTTTTGGATTAAGTTTTTATATTAATTTTTATAGTGCTTAGTTCAAATTTTTATATTCTTATTATTCAATTATTAAATAATAGGTAATTTTGTGACATAGAGTATAAATGAAAAAAATTGGTAATTAAGTTTATTGAACATTATAAATAAATATTTAAAACTAATGATGGGTACAAAGAGTGGTATAAATTGATAACTTAGTTTGTAAAAATGAATTTAAATGAGTTTACAAAAAGTTAAAATAAATATGTTATAAATGGGTAATTGGGTCACCCAATTCATTTTTTGACTTACCCATTTATACCCATCTAATTAAATGAGTATAAATGAGTTGACTCACTTATACCCATTACCCATTTTACCCAACCCAAATCTGCCCAAGTCACCCATTTTGACACCTCTAAGTAGTACCAATCTTGTTGGGTCATGGCGCGCTGCATTTGAGGATTGAAGGCATGCTTAAACCATTTCCATCAAGCATTTGAGAATTGAAAGATTGCTTCAACCTCTCTCTCTCTCTCTCTCTCTCTCTCTCCGGGTTTATTTTCGCCTTGGACATGCACAAAGGAGTCTATGCTTTTGTATGACGCAGCGGTTTTGCGGAAGCACCTGATAAGATAAGGCAATTAATTTCTCTCTCTCTTTTTAATTTTCCAAGTGGGGTATTAATGAAACTTAATATGTGAAACAAGCTATACATTTTTCTTATTTTCTACTTGTTCTCATATACCGTATTGTTACGTATCAATTCACACTTCTTGGATGATTTTAAAACTTGAAATTATTGAATGATATGATAAGAGTTTATTAGATTATAATCATGAATATGATATCCAAAAGGGATCATAGAATTTTCCGTTCTCATAAGCATGTCATTTCTTTTTTCTTCTTTTGGTGTATGCTATTTTTTTATAGTTAAAAAAGAAAAACCTATAAAGTCACTTTCTATTCTTTGTTTCATGTTTCGCCTTATTAAAGATTTAGTTTGACTAATGCATGTATCTATTGCACACTCATTAAGAAGGGCATTAAGTACTAATTTTTTTTGTTGAAAAATAGAGTTAATTTTAGAAAGTGTCACAATTCCAGAAAGTGTATGTATTTATATAACAATTTAAGTGTGGTTTAGATATTTTTAGTAATACCTATTAGAAAAATCTTTAAAGATTAATAGGTTCATGAAAGCACTAAACTTATATACCAATGTTACTTTCGAAGATATGAGACTCAATATAATTCCCTTATAAAACATAGCTCTCATTTTTCCTTTACAAAAATACTCCTCGTTGCCCCTCCAAATATTATTACCCTTCAAAGCAAAAGCAAGCATGCAAAGATTTATACCCTCCAAATTGTTTTTTTTTTCGAATGGCTGATACAAAGATTTATAATTATCTCACTCCCAATTACCATAAATGAAAAATATTTTGGTCAAAATAGTATACGGTTATTATATAAGAGTGAATTTTTCATTAAGGAGAATTTGGCAACAGCAATATTTGTTCCTTATCAGCTAGCTTATATTGCCTACAATTCCTTTCTCAAATTGAAACGAATTTTGTGAACCTTCAATAAAACAGAAACAAATTTTTACAAATCAGCCCTCGTTAAGTAACTTCCATTCCACAACGACCCATTCTTTGGAATTGAAAATTAACAAATCACAGTATAATATAATTTCCAAAACAATAATTTGACACTAAAACTTTTAGGGGCTTTTTGGCAAAAGCACCCTCCAAAAATAGGCGTATGCCGCTTGTTGTGACGAGCACACGGTATTCTTTAGTAAAAGGCGAAAGAATAGTTCGCTCTGTGCTCATCACGCGGCTCCGTGAAGCGTTTGAGTTCGCCCGGGTGCCCCTTTTATCATCCTCCCACCTCGTTTCACTTTCAACAGTCTGGCGATGTGGGACTTCGCATAAGTGCAAAGAAAAGATAGCCAGTTAACCTGCCAATTGACTCTACTACAGTTCTTCCTCCCAGAAACGTCAAAATCTTCTCACCTTATTCCGCAGAGATGTATCAAATCTGCTCAAACGATACATCATTAATTACTGGAATGGACCCTTGTGAGCTCACAAAGTCATGGCTTCTCATCGGGTAGAGAACTGCATCTTGCACGGTCTAGCCAACTTTTCTTTTAGCATTTGCTGAACTTGTCTTTTTTTTGCAGTAATTAAAGGGGTTGCTTCATAGTATTATTGTATCATCAGGGCAGCTTAATGCATTAGACATTGGTTGCTTAAATTGACTTGTAAGTTGCAATGCCAGATAAAACTAACACTGATCAATACCATTTCAGACTATCGTGGCTCTTCATGATTTATTTTTCACAACATATGGCCCAGAACCTGATGGTACGTTAATTTGGTAGGGTAACGCTGAAAGAGAGAGTATGGTGAAGACTCTGGAAACCACATAAATGTAATGTCAGACGTGCCATTCTTCGGCATGTTGAGGCCACCGCTGTCCCAGTGTGCCTGCCAAGCTGCATCCTCTTTATATATACAGCGGAGGAATTTATGGTGATTGCTATTCTGTGAAATTTATTAGCTAATCAGAAAGTTAGTTGCAGGGCAAGTTCTTGCTGGGTCTCAACCATACCATCACTAAAGCCGAAGAAATAAAACAATTGCGATAAATCGCCTGAAACAAACGTTCTGCAAGCCAGCAATTCAAGTTCTGAAATTGCTTGAATTTTCCACTTAAGGGTAAACTTTTATTGATTAATGCGAGAGATTGACACAATTGAACAACAGGAATGACAATATAGTATATGGTATCAAGAAACGAAGATTCTGGGAAACAAATCCCACACAAACACTAAGCTGGACTTTCTTTGGTGCTCAACAACAATTCTGCCAGGCCCTTCAAGGAGAATTTTAGGACATCTCATCCTCGTTGAGATTTGAGAATTGCGGAGGTAACATAAATTTAAGGAGGGACTAGGAAAATGGGAGCAGTGGGGTAAAGAAGCTCTCTTGAAAATCAAGAAATTGATCTATAATCTTCCATTCTGATGAAGCTCAGTGCCGCATCATTGATCCATCCATACTTCTCCATGAAAGGATTGCCTAGAGAATCTGGAGGGTACTCGTCAATGCAATCTTCCCAAACATTGCGATCCGTCATATCTTTCATTACCTCCCACACACAATTGTTACATTTAAATCCAGCACCAAAACTTATCATTATTATCCGGTCACCTTTCTTGAGTCTTTTCTTAGCTTCCATGTAACCTAGAACATACCACAAGCCGCCAGCAGAAGTGTTACCATAGCGGTGAAGCGTCATCCGGGCCGGTTCAAGATCATAGTCAGTTAGCCCCAAACTCTTGCCAACCCCATCTATAACTGCCTTTCCACCAGGATGTATGCAGAAGTGATCTGCACCTGTTTTCAAATTCGGAATTGCGGCCATGAGTCCTTGATCAAGTGACGCACTCTTGGATTTCCTCCTCTGCTGGGAGGATACTACGATGTACCTTATTATTTCCCATAATGGGAGCATTTTAGGACCCAGCACTCGCAGATTGATGATGAAACTCTGAGCTGCTGCTTTGACAAGTTTCTTCGTGAGACGAAAACCTCTGTACCCTTGACCATCTTCCACCTGGATGCAGCACTCATAGGCTTCATCATTTGATCCATAATGAGTGCGTACCATATATTTTAACTTCAAGATGGCTCGATGCTTTAAGGCCTTATTATTGGTGAAAAGCATTGAACAACCACCCGAGCGGAATAAGCAATTGGACAGCATCATGGATTTTTCCCTGCCACAGTACCAGTTTGCACCCAAAGCTTCTGTACTCACAACAATAGCATATGCATTCTTGTAAGACTTGAACAGGTGCTGGACTAGATCAATTGCAACAAGGCTGGCACTGCACCCCATGCCAGAGAGATTAAAGGCCTTGACATCGCACCTCATCTTGTAACGGTTTATGACTCGAGCTGCTAGAGATGGCACGCAAGAAAGTAGAGATACGTTCACCACAAGAATGTCGATTTCTTGAGGAGAAATCCCTGACTTCGCAAAAAGACTGTCAAGTGTGTTGAAGAAAATTTGATCCATCTCGGTTAATGAATCGATTAATTCAGGACGCTCTTCTTTGCCCTGGATGACATTGTCGGGAGCATAAGTGTTCTCACCAATGCCTGAATTGACAATGGTTTGTAAGAGGAATCTGTATTCTTCTAAGCCAAGAGTTTTGTTGCGCAAGATGATGGAGGCACATAATTCTGTGTCTAACTTTCTGTCCTCCGTGGCCTTGTAACATTCATAGCCTAGCATGTAACAGCATTGGTTTGTCCTCTGCAAGGCTATCTTGTAGAGGTAGTATGTAAGGTAAAGGAAACAAAGCAAATATAGTGCTGTTAAGAGCTCCATATTTCGAAAAAGAAAGTGGAGGATGGGCTATGGAGGGGTTCTACAGGTATGCTGGATTTCTGCAGCCTATTGGTGTCGACTATATAAGGCAAAATTTCAACATACAAAAGCAATTAATGTACATACAAAAGCAGTTATGCGTCCCCAATTTGAGTTGTGACGCATTTCTTCTCAGCACAATTTATTGAAAAATATATTGCATTCCTTTATAATTTATAGTAAGAAAATAGGGATAATTTTAGAAACCTCCCCGGTAGTTTCTGACTATTTCACTGGCCTCCCTTCAGGTTTCAAAAATTACACTAGCCTCCCTTAAGATTAATCATCTTGTAACATTTAGTCCCAATCAATAATTAAAAAAGTGATATTAGGAGAAAGAAAATAATATGATTGCGTCGTTACCCCTCATCCATTACATTATTTACTTAATTTAATACCAACCCACGCATTAAAGAAAACACTAAAATAACAAACTTTAACATCATAAATATTCTTGTCAACATATTAAGATTAGTTGTTGAGATTTTTATGGTATTAAAGTTCACTTTTTGTAATATTTTGGTTACGGATTTTTTTGATTATTTGTTGTTAATTATGTTTGACAATGAGTTTGTAACTGAAAAGCGCAATTTGGATCTTGTATTAAGTGAAATATACAAAATGATATACTATTTTCGATGCCATATATTATAGTAGATAAGGGCAATGGTATTATATTATCTTTCCTAATATCACTTTTTAATTGTTGTTTGGATCTACATGTTCACTTGCATATTTATATTTACTGTACTTCGTACTATATATTTCATGAATTCCACTCTGCAAAAGCAATTAATCGTAACAAGCATATGAAACACTTGATTATATACCTAGTAACATGAATGAAAAGCAAACGTTTTACGCCACAAGAAGCTATTAATAACATCAATCATGCATGCAAGACAATGGAAATAGCAAACATATATAGCCATACAGGTGATTATGTGATAATGATGATACCAATAATCAATTCAACGATGCAATAGGTGCCGTGATCAATTCTGTTTAAGGTTTGTATTTAAAGTTAGAAATGTCGCTGTTGGCTTATGAAGTTGATGCATAATCATTTTAGAGACTTCACTACCCTGGCTCCTTGTGAAATTTAAGGATCAATTAATGTTGTATTGTGTGGTGATGAATTGATAACAACGTAATACCCATCAGAAAATGTTGCCGGGGAAAAAATGCCACTCTACATGCAACTTTAGTCCAGATTTTCGTATGAATTAAATGTCTAATGAATTAGTGTCTAACTCCCTTGATTTGACTTGTTGATGATTTCCAACAAATGAATGGCTAATTGCTCAGCCTCGTGCGATTTTGTTCAAATGTTCATGGAATATCTTGTGCGATTTTAGTTAATATTGTAGGTAAGAGCAATTTATGCATTATACCTGTATTTTCGACATTAATAATAGAGGTACGAGAACCGAAGGAAGCCGGCAAATTTCAACCTTGTCAGGCTGTCACCCACCTCCTGTCTCTTTAATTAGCAAGTAGGGTACATGCCCTTAATTAAAGCTGCTGCATTAATTTCTATCAGATTAGAAGTTTATTTGCAACTCAAGCATAGTAAAAAAAAAAAAAAAGCAAGGATGGTATACAAATTATAAATAGAATATTACATTGTCAACCTTCAAAAATATCAAAAACATAAAACACTTATAGCTTCACCTTATGTTCATCTCATTAATCTGGTATTAATCTAATAGTCCAACTTCACCTTATGTTTTCCAATTCCGGTCTGATTGACCACTCAAAATATGGTCCAAAGCTCAAATATAAACCACTCCAACTGTTTTACTACTAAAACATTCTTTAAATATTTGCTGATGGAATACCGTCAGAAGCTTGCGTTAGTACATAGCGCATTTTTTTTTATATGAAAAATCCAAAAAGTATCAAAATTTGTGCCCCGCACATTTTAGAAGTCCTTTTTTTTTTAAGTGAAAGATTTTGAATATAAAATCTCCCACTTTTAATATCTTGCACTTTGACACCCAATCCAACCCTCCTCCTTAGAGGTCCTTATTTGTTGCTTCGTACTGGAATTTCTGCTTTAGCGATGTGAAGATGTGCAATTATGGATTAACAATGTGCACCAATAAATTATCAGCCGCTAGCAAAAAGGAAAAAAAAAAACACACACACACACAAACACAAAATAGATTAACCGGTGCAAGTATTATTATTATTATTAGGGTTAAAAACAAAAAAAAACCCTCTGTATTATATCTAATACATAGAAAAACCTTCCGTAGTTTCAAAACATACAAAACTACACCTCATGTTTTGAACTAAATTATAAATTAACAGAATTCGTTAAACATAACGGAATCCGATAAATTTAAAGGAATCCGATAAAGTTAACAGTAAACTTAACGGAATCCTATAAGTTTAACAGCCGAGACCTTCATTTTCGTTAAATTTAACAAATTCTGTTAGTTTATAATTTAGATCAAAACATGAGGTGTCGTTTTGTATGTTTTGAAATCACGGGGGCCTTTTCTATATATTCGGTATACTACAGGGAGCTTTTTGTTTTTAAACCTTATTATTATTATATCGCCACCCATGATTGAAGTGGATTACATCTGTTTATTAAATGGAGAACCCTAGACTTCTTTCAGACCACTAATACCACCAACAAAACTATTGACGTTCATCAATATGAATATTTGATAGCCCAATGTGGGGCTTTCTGGTTAGGCGTTTTAAGCTTCTATAGTACATGCCTAATTTGGTGAAGTTTCTTCTTTGATTTCATGACTCAGATTTGCTACATTTGTATAAACACGAAAATTCAGATATTGCATGTTGGATTTCAACTTGGTTTTAGTAACATGCATGCATATGTATAAATGCTCCATTTTGTTTCTGTCAACTATCATTTTTGAGTAACGGCCATGTTAGTTTTATCCGTAGTTTCCTGGACATTTCTGCATGCAGCTTTTTTTCCCCCTTGTATAAGATACGAATGTGAAATATGGAGCAGACGAATGTGACATAAGAATGCGATAAAGATACGAATGTGACTTAAGGGCACAGCCGCGTATGTCTATGCGCTTTCATCTTCTTCCAAAATCGGCCTCGGTTGGTAACAAGTCGAAACTCGATCAACGTCAGGAGCTGAACTGTATATATTTAGGCCCGTTTGAGGTTGTAGTACTTTTGATTAAAAATCACTTATAGGTGCTAAAAGTATTTTTAAAAATTACCTAGGAACGAAGCTTTTAATGTTAAAAATACTTTTAATAGAAGATCAAATTTGGCGTTTTTAAAGTAACTTTTGTAATTTAAAAACTTAGATATTAAATTTAATCATCTCATCCTATATTATGATCTAAATAAAGAGATAAATACATTTAAAACATTTCAAATAAAATATATCCAATGCAATAATTACTTATTAAATTTAGTCTTTAAACAATATATTTAAAAGTACTTAAATACTTAATAAGTATTTTTATTAAAAATTCTAATGGAGAAGTATTTTTCGATAAGTTATCGCAGTTCCAAACGGGCCTTAATTACCTACAAAAGAAAAAAAGAACTACTCCCTCCGTCCCACTTTGATAGTCATGTTTTCCTTTTTCGTCTGTCCCAAATTGTAGTCCACTTTCCAATTGAAGAATATAGTTGTATTTTAATTTTCCTAAAATACCCTTATTCAATGTAAGTTGTTGTTACTATAAACCTACTCCATTTAATGAGAGTTTATTTTTTTTTTACCATCAATTCAAGTTCCCATAAAGTTGTACTCTAATTAATGTGAGGGTATTTTAGAAAAATAACTACCTAAATTAATTCTTCCAACAAAATTAACTACTTTTTCTTAAACTGTATGAAAAAAGAACCAGAACTATCAAAGTGGGATGAAGGGAGTTTATTTAACTACATCAAAAGGTTGCGCAATAAGTGCGTCACCTTTATTGCGCAACCTTTAGTTAGTGGTACTACTAAACTGTGGTTTTTTTTTTTTTTATGGAAAATGTTAAATTGCGTTTGCTTAATAAGAAACTTTTTAGCAAGGCCAAAAAGACATAATCTTGGATATTTTTTCTCCGGTCTAAATTTATGGAAAAATGCATAGTTAGTTCCTGTATATGGCATCATCTGGCTATCTTTTTGCCGTGTGGAGAAAATGCATAGTTAGTTCCTGTATATGGTATCATCTGGATAACCTTTTGCATAAATGCATTCAAAGACTTCACAGTTTGTGCCAATTAAATCGGTCGTAGCTACTTTAAGACCTGTTTCAATAATAAATGTCTATCCACTGGAATACGTAATCAATTTATTTCACTGCGCACCACTGATTCAACCAGGCCATCCAAGGGGAATCGCGTAACTTTTTCAGGAATCCGATGGAAACTATTATAGATTTTGGAACGGGCTAGTGGCCTGGACAAGCAGTAAAATCATGGTCTAAACTCTAAAAGAACGGTAGGAATAAATGTTTACATACTAGTACTAGTGCTGTAAATAACTTCAGCTGTACTTTCCTGTCCAGAAAGAGTAATCAGTTCTGCGTGCATATTGAACATTTAAAAACACCACCAAACACATGCAAACTCCTGTATTCATATAGTAATGCAATTAGTGTAAATTCAAATAACAATTCAAGTGAAAAAATCTCAACATCTAGAGGCCTTGATTTCGAAAGAAATTTTCTCACGAATGTCATCCAGGCTAAGGAAGCTCATACTTTCATCATTGAGCCAAGCAAATTTCTCCATGAAATGGTTCACTAGGGACTTCGGAGGGTAGTTGTCAATGCAATCTTCCCACACATTTGAGCCCTCCATGTCCCTCATCACCTCCCATACGCAAGTGTTGCATTTTAGACCAGCACCAAAAGTAATCATGAGTATCCTGTCACCTTTCTTGAGCCTCTTCTTAGCTTCCATATAACCTAAGACGTACCAAATAGAACCAGCAGCCGTGTTGCCAAATCTGTGTAGTGTCATCCGAGATGGTTCAATATCATATTCGTCAAGCCCTAAACTCTTGCCAAATCCCT